CCAGCTGCAGTCGGCGTTACCGTCTGCCTCCTCTCTCCTTGGTCCTGCTCCTTACACTGGTCCGACTGGAGGTCTTACTGAGCGGCGTGAGCCTGCGTCTCGTCCTGCGTCGCCTGAGTCTCGTCCTGGGTCGCCTGTCCGCACTGCTCTCTCTAGTCATCGAGTCCAGCGTCAGCGTCTTCCTGCTGTCCCAGGCACTCACCGGATGGCGCTTCGTCCGTCCACTGCTCCACAGCGTGTCCCACTGCCGTCTCCTCCTGCTTCCTCTCTTCCTGCTCTTCCTGACCCTGGGTCAGACTCTCTTCGTGCTACCAGTCCTGCTGTCACGCGTCTCCTGGCCACTGTTGTCACTGACCCTTCCTTTGAGTCTGCTGCTGCGTCTGCCTTAGTTGCTGAGCTTGTCGACTTTGCTGCTCGCTGTCGTCTAGACTACGCTGCTAGCCTAGTTGCTGAGTCTGAGTCTGTCTGTCCTCCGTCCGTCGGGGGTGAGTGTGCTCTTGGCACTGACGTCCTTGAGGACAGGCAGGAGGAGTTCCAGTGCTTTGCTGCCGCTTTGCCCCATCTCGTGTCCATGCTTGTTGCCCCTGAGGGAGACCCGGATGCACCAGACATCCCGACCCCACGCTCTTACGCAGAGGCGATGGCCGGTCCCTACTCCTCTCAGTGGCAGTCAGCCATGGACACAGAGATGGCTTCCTGGAAGTCCACAGGCACCTACGTCGACGAGGTTCCCCCGCCTGGGGCGAACATCGTCAGTGGCATGTGGATTTTCAGGGTGAAGCGGCCGCCGGGTTCTCCGCCTGTCTTCAAGGCGCGTTACGTTGCACGAGGCTTCAGTCAGCGCGAGGGAGTTGACTTCTTCCAGACCTTCTCCCCGACCCCGAAGATGACCACTCTTCGGGTTCTGCTGCACGTCGCCGCTCAGCGTGACTACGAGCTCCACTCGCTTGACTTCAGCACTGCTTTCCTGCAGGGCAGCCTGCACGAGGAGATCTGGCTGCGCCGTCCACCTGGCTTCACTGGGTCGTTCCCTCCTGGTACCCAGTGGAGCCTCCGACGGCCAGTCTACGGTCTCCGCCAGGCGCCTCGTGAGTGGCACGACACACTGAGGACTACGCTTGCGGCTCTTGGGTTCGCGCCTTCTACTGCTGACCCGTCGCTGTTTCTACGCACCGACACCTCACTGCCGCCGTTCTACGTCCTTGTGTACGTCGACGACTTGGTTTTTGCTACTGCTGACACTGTGGCACTCGCCCACGTGAAGTCGGAGCTGCAGAAGAGACACACGTGCACAGACCTGGGTGAACTGACAAGCTATCTTGGCTTGCGGATCACCCGGGACAGAGCACGCCGCACCATCACCTTGACTCACTCACACATGGTGCAGCAGGTCCTTCAGCGCTTCCGCTTCACGTACTCCTCGCCTCAGCCCACTCCTCTGCCTACCGGTCACTCGCTCTCAGCTCTGCCTTCGGATGAGTCCGTAGAGCCGAGTGGCCCGTATCCAGAGCTTGTGGGTTGCCTCATGTACCTGATGACCTGCACTCGACCAGACCTTGCATACCCTCTCAGCATTCTTGCACGCTATGTCGCTCCCGGCCGTCACCGGAAGGAGCACATGGATGCAGCTAAGAGGGTGTTGCGCTACTTGTGCAGTACGTCGGGCATGGGGCTAGTGCTTGGAGGGCGAGTCCCAGTTGTTCTCACTGGACACTCAGACGCTTCTTGGGCAGACGACCAGGCTACTCAGCGGTCGTCTCAGGGTTACTCCTTCAGTCTTGGCTCTGGTTCTGTTTCTTGGCGTTCTACTCGCTCTTCTTCTGTTCTCAGCTCCTGTTGTGAGGCTGAGATCTACGCCACAGCCATGGCGGCCCAGGAGCTACGCTGGCTCACCTACTTGCTGACCGACCTTGGAGAGCAGCCTCGTTCTCCTCCAGTGCTGTACGTCGACAACAAGGCAGCCATTGCCTTGTGTGAGGAGCACAGACTGGAGCACAGAACGAAGCACATTGCTCTGCGTTACTTCCTCGCTCGAGAGCTGCAGCAGCGTGGTCAGCTTCGCCTGCGTTACGTGGCCTCTGAGGCCAACACTGCTGATGTGTTCACCAAGGCGCTTCAGCCTTGTGACCATCAGCGCTTTTGCACTCTTCTAGGCCTTGTGCCTACTGGACCTCACTTGCTTACTTCTTGAGTCTGTTGTACTGTGATCTCTATATATAAACCTGCATGTGAACTGGTCTTGTGACCACTTGCTTGTGCTCGGAATTTGTGTGGTATCCTTGAGATCCACCCTGAGCTTGTTTTGCCTTGCTTTACCTTGACTGGTCTTGTGACCCCTAGTTCTCCCCCACTTTGCCTATGGGGGTGTGTCAAACATTATATATGTTGTGTTAGTTTAGGCTACAGTGGGTTAGCCTATAGGGGGTACACAATTCTAGGGTTAGGTACTTGTACTCTTTTCATTGCTAGTTCATTCATTCCTGTTCAGTGATTCCAACACTTCTCTGTGCTCATCCCTTCCGTCACCAGCAGATCGCCAGCTTTCATCAAGAGCCAGCACCATGGGCAGCCGCGCTGCCAACAACATTCTTACCAGCAGCAGTGGTTACTGCAGCAGTAGTGGAGGAGAGGGAACCAGCAGCATGGGCAGCAGCGGTGCTAGTGCTGGCAGTGTCTGTTGCCACGTCAATGGCAGCTGCAGTGGTGGCTGCAGCAGCAATGGGGGAGTAAGTACTGCTTACAGCAGCAGCAGTGCAGCAGTGAGTACTGCAACCACGTTTCCTCTACGTGTTGGTTGTTCAATGTCGCCTGCTTTCATGTCTTCTGCACTCAGGCCTATCCCACTCTCCATTCGCCATTCTCATGCGTTCTTTCGTTCCTGTCTGTCTTTCCTGTCGACCATCTTCCCATGCCACCTTCACGTCTCTGCTACTGTGTTGCCACATTTTCATGCCCTCGTCCCCTGCCCTCTTTTCGTCTCTGCTCTTCTCTCTTCCATCACCCAAAGGGCAGAACTTCTTATCCTGCACCACCAGCATGGGCAGCAGCAGCCACTAGCAGCAGTGGTGGTGACAATGGCAGTTGCAGCATCAACGGCAGCTGCAGTGGTTGCTGCAGCAGCAATCAAGGAGTGAGTACAGATTATTCTACTGCTTCCTAGTGTCCTCTTGGTGCTGGTTCTTTAATATCACCTGCGTTCTTGTCTAAGCTTACAAGTCATACCCATCTCTCTTCATCCTTGCATTATGTTGCTCGTTCTTTCCATCTTCAGTATCCTGCTGTTATGGCGCCCTCACCTCTCTCCTTCTCCATATCCCATGGCTCTGGCAACAGCTGTGCAGGAGGCAGTGGGAGCAGCAGCACAATGTGTTTGGTAAGTGTGGGTTCTGCTCACCTCTCACTTCCTGCTTGCTCCACAATGGCGTTCCAAATCTTCTTTACACCTTCTGCATACCTTTGATTCAAACAGAAAATGCGCACTATGATTTACACATGCTTTGAGCTTCCTTGTTCTATCCCCTCCCCTCTCTTCCATTCCCCATTGCTGTCCCGTTTACAGCTCAGAAGAATTCAACGTGGCTCTGCTTTGGTGATGTGGAGGCAAGGAGAAGACTCTGACTGCTGCTGTGCTCAGCAGAGGCAGTCTGTTGGGTGTGTCTAGGTGTGTTTAGCAGTGCTTAGGTGTGCTGTGCTTAGGTGTGCAGTGCTTAGGTATGCTGTGCTTAGGTGTGTTGCGCCGTTGCTGTGCTGGATGGGCCTGCATGTTGTAGAGGGCAGGTGGGTGGGGTGGGGTGGGCAGCCTGGAAGGCGCCTGGGCACTAACAAGCAAGCAGGAGAGAGTGAGAGTGGGGTGGAGCTGCCATGAGAGGCAAATGCACCGTGATGGGGAGAAAGCGCGGGTGCAGTGCAGGGAACCCACCCACCTGCGCTGCATGCAGCTTGCATGCACATACAGAGCAAGCCACCACAAACCAGATCTGGGTCAGGCAAATCCTTCTCACACACAAGCAGGTATGGCAGGGAGTGACAAGAAAACCATTGGTCACATTTCGGTACAGGAATGGTCAGGGGTTCATACACACACTTTTACCTGCAATGCAGCTGGTGCATCAAGACCAGTGACCGCGGGCAACAATGCGTACCAGGTACAGCAAGAGCATGGAAGCTACCCTATCTGACAGTTGCTGTATCGCTGCATTCTCCTCCACTTGTGTTGTGACTGAACAAGAAGGCTCTGCGAGCCTTTTGCTGTGCACTGAGCCGCCATCCGTGTCTGCACCTACACCTGTCATGCCACCGCCACCAACCAACCAGCCAGCCAGCCTACCAGCCCAAGGCCAATCATCTAACCAGCCAGCCAGCTAATGTGGTGGGAGGGTAGGGCCTACACATGCAGATGGTGGTGGTGGTGACAGGGACTGACAAGAAACAAGGTACAGCAGGAGCATGGAAGCTACTGTGCAGTACCACTAGACTAGAACCTTCATGACTTACTACTGTAGTCCAGAACCATGAAGTCACCAGAATACCTTGATGGTGATACCATATATGAAATCTAGTTGTCTTTGAACAGCCTTTTACCGTATTAACCAAGTCGAAACGTGTTGCTATCATGCTACTTGCTACAGTCACATCAGCTATTTGGTCCTACGGTCCTACGAATAAAGCAACCTAGACATCTTAATTGTCTAACTAAGGTAAATCATTGTTTGTAACAATACGGGACGAAGAATGGTAGCATCGCATGTACTGCAATGGTAGCACGAGTATGAAACACCCCTTTCATGCGAAATAGTGGCATGGAGATGGGCAGAAACTGAATGGGATGATGGCCTGACAATCTCATTCTTCATGAAGTGCTGCCAATGACTCATGCCTTGCTGCATCCGCGCACAATGACTATTGGAGTCTGCTCCTCCGCATTCCCTGTATTCACACACCCAGCCACAGTCAGTCAACAGCCAGTCAGGAACGCCAAAAGCTTGCCTCCAGATGTCCAACTATGACAGGCGCGCACCAGCATCACAACATTCCCTCCCGCATCGCACGGAACCCCTCACAAACTGTGAGTGCGGGCAGGGCAGCAGCTCACCTGCTGGGTTGGGCAGCAGCGCTGTTGTGAGCCTCCCATGGTCCACCCCTGCTGACGCCTGCATGTGGTGGGGCATGGAGGCATGGGGGTATGGGTCATGGGCATGGTTCATGGGCATGGGTCATGGGCATGGGTCATGGGCATGGGTCATGGGCATGGGTCATGGGCGTGGGACATGGGCATGAGGCATGATGTGACGTGGAATACGGGGCATGGGGCATGAGCTATGGCCTCATCCCTTCAATTCTTACACCATCCATGCATCACTCGCCTTCCCACTGTGAAGATCGGTGCTGCCTCCAGCCTATTCACATGCACCACCGCTACCCACAGCCCAGCTTCATCCCTCTTCACCTCTCGTAACTGTTCACCACCGCTCGGCACCGCTCACCACCCATGTAGGTACTCACAGCGAGGATCTGCACTTTCTTGAGATCGTTAACGTCCACTATCGCCACGCCACACCCCAGCTTTGCACTCAGCCCCTCCACCGTCTCCTGTGGTCGTAGCTGGTGGGATAGTGGGGGCGGGTGGGGTGTGAGGGGCAGGGAGAAAGGGCAAGTATTGTGGGAGAGGGAGAGGGATACGGTTGGGGGGCGGACCTGAGGTCGTTGACTCCCACACCGCCACGCCACATCCCAGCTTCGCACTCAAGCCCTCCACCGTCTCGCAGCTGGTGAATCACCAACGTTGGGGGATGGGGTGTTTGGGAAGGGAAACGAGGGAGGGGTAGTGTGGGAGGGTGGTACGAGCGTATGAGGTGGGGAAGCTGGCAGTGGAGCAGGGAAAGTCCGGCGGGTGAATGAGGACGTGAGTGGCTGTGGCAGCACGGCCCTGATGTCCAAACACTGGCAGCACGGGCCTGAACTACAAGGAGGACGGGGCAGCAGTGGCTGGACCCAGCAGGCAGCAGCTTGGCGGCCCTACACTTGGCAGTTTGGACGCACAAGGCGAGAGAAGAGCAACGAATGCGCAAGTGCACGCACGGGGTAAATAGCGATGAGGTGACCAGCGGGTGGCAGACTGAGTGTGATGTGGTTGTGCTTTTGTGGTTAGGAGAGGGGTGAGGAAGCGAGGAAACAGGAGAGTCGAGGAGAGAGGAATAAGAGAGTGGGCAAGGAGAGAGGAGAGGAGAGGAGAGGAGAGGAGAGGAGAGAAGAGGAGAGGAGGGGAGAGGAGAGGAGAGGAGGGGAGAGGAGAGGAGAAAAGAGGAGAGCACGCACAGGGTGATGAACTGGTCGTAAGGGGGGAGAGTGCCGGTGACATCATCGATGAGTCGCGCCTGCTCCCCTGCCAGCTGGTAGAACACACCCCTCTGCCTCAGCAGCACTCGTGCCAGCGCCGCCAGCAGTACTGCCACTACCACGCGCACCACCCCCACCACGTCGATAAGGGCCTGTGGTGAGGGGGATGGGGAACGGCATTGGTGTGGGTGGTTTGTGAGGGGAAGGGCCGGAGACCACTCGCACTGCCCCGACCAGGTCTATAGGCAGCAATCTAGCCTAGTTTGCAATGCATCTTCCTGTTTGCACACACTGCTGATTCCTGCCATTCTACTATGTCCCATTAATCCCCCCCCCTCCTACCCCCCCCACCTGCATGCCACAGGCGGTGGCGAGCGAGGAGGTGGGCAGGAAGCGGCGGCAGGCTACTTTATTCTGCTCTGCTTTTGAGGCGCCTCAAAAGGCAGGAAGCGGCGGGAGGCTACTTCATTCTGCTCTGCATTGAGTGGTCCTGCTTGCACAACCCCACTCCTAGTCAATGCTACACCCAGGAAGGAATGGTGTTCCTGCTGCTATGTCTCACCACCCCCACGCGCACCTGCATGCCACAAGCCGTAGCAAGAGACGAGGTGGGCAGGAAGCGGCGGCACGCCCAGCGAGCAACGGGCCCCGCGCGTACGGAGTCGGGGTGGCGGAAGCGACCCTGCATGATGGCCAATGGCGTCTCGCCAATTGTCACCACGTCGCCTGGTTGCAGATATGGGGCTGCGTAACTGAAGTGGGTGCGATGGGATGGGAGTATGGTGCAGTATGGTGCGGTGCGGTGCAATGTGGTGCAGTTTAGACAAACTGAACTGACTTGACTGACTTGACTGATTGGACTGACTCGAATTGACAGACTTGGGTGGACGCGTGTAAGAATGGGTATGCCAGTAAGCGCGGAGATGCCACAGGGCGAGGCGAGGGGCGCGCCTCAGCATTGCCACAGGGCGAGGGGCGCGCCTCAGCATCGCAGGATGCCTCACCGTCGGAGCACGAGTAAGGGGTCGTCGAGGTGGCACAGCAGGTGTGTTGGGACCGCCAGCACTGATATGCCCGGTGCGATGCTGCCGGGGGAGAGAGGGGCGGGGAAGGGCACTCGTGACGATGTGGAGCAGAGGTGAACGCGGGTGGAGGGGGGAGTGGAGGTGGCAGAGCAGGTGCAATGGAACCGACCGCCAGCACTGACATGCCCGGTGCGATGCTGTCGGGGAGGAGGGGGGTGGGGGTGGGGAACCATTGTGATGGTGTGGAGCAAAGGTGAATGCCGATCGAAGGGGGGCGCGGAGGGGTAGGGGCGAGGGCAAGCAGGGGCGAGGACAAGCAGGGGCGAGGGCAAGCAGGGGCGAGGGCAAGCAGGGGCGAGGACAAAGGCCCTGAGAGGGGGATACCTGTGCCACTGAGGGGCGTGTGGAGCAGATGGAGGCGGGCAGGCGGGGAAGGCGAGTGGCAGGATGACGTGCTGCACCAATGGCAGGCTGCCATGTGGCCCGTACGCCGGGTAGTGCACGTCCAGCCTGGCTGCCTGGTGGGAAGGAGATGGTGGGAGGGAGATGGTGGGAGGGAGATGGTGGGAGGGAGATGGTGGGAGGGAGATGGTGGGAGGGAGATGGTGGGAGGGAGATGGTGGGAGGGAGATGGTGGGAGGGAGATGGTTGGAGGGAGATGGTGGGAGGGAGATGGTGGGAGGGAGATGGTGGGAGGGAGATGGTGGGAGGGAGATGGTGGGAGGGAGATGGTGGGCGGGAGATGGTGGGCGGGATGTGAGGAGAGGGGTGTGTGTGGTGTGTAGGGAGGTGGATGGTGGGAGGGAGTGATGGAGGGAGGGATGGAGGGGAGTGATGGAGGGGAGGGATGGAGGGGAGGGATGGAGGGGAGGGATGGAGGGGAGTGATTGAGGGGAGGGATGGAGGGGAGGGATGGAGGGGGAGGGATGGAGGGGAGGGATGGAGGGGAGTGATTGAGGGGAGGGATGGAGGGGAGTGATTGAGGGGAGGGATGGAGGGGAGGGATGGAGGGGGAGGGATGGAGGGGAGGGATGGAGGGGAGTGATTGAGGGGAGGGATGGAGGGGAGGGATGGAGGGGAGGGATGGAGGGGAGGGATGGAGGGGAGGGATGGAGGGGAGGGATGCGGTGCAGAGTGTGTGTGTTTGAGAGACACGAGAGACGAGCAGGAGACGATTGAGTGAGGGCGGGAGAGAGTAGGGGGAGAGGGGACAAGTATGGGCTGAAGACACAACTTCACATGTTAAGAGGGAATTTGACTTGGCTCACTGTCCTCTCTCCTCGCTCTGCTCCCTGCCATCGCAGGGAGAGGGCTGAATGTTCCTCCTGCCCTCACCCTCGCTCACTGGCTGATTGTACCTTGAGGTGGGAGAGGGTTGCATCGTCCGCTGAAGCTGAATCTGAGTCTGCCGCCCGGATCTCAACAGTCACCTCCATGGCTGTGCCCTTTCCCGCCCGGGTGATGTACGCCGGCCAGTAGCCGTCCGCTCGGGCGGCAGGCTTGCCGCCCGGATGGCGTGGGGCGATCTGGAAGGGGCGGCCGGGCGGGCGGGGAGGCGGTGGTGGAGTGAGTAAAAGACAAAAGACAGCAGCTCAGCTTAAAGTGAACGGAGGAGGGGAGAGAGGAGTTGACCAGCCATATGGGCAAAGGGGGCAAAACTGAGAGGAGGGGAAGTCTGTTGGTGGCAAGGGTGGAGGTGCGAGGGAGTGTGGGGGAGAGTGAGAGTGCCTTTGGGAAAGTGCGAGGGAGTGCAGGGAGATAGTCTTTCGGGAAGTGCCGGGTCTGTGAGGAAGTGTGGGGGAGTGCGAGGGCGTGTGAGAGTGTGAGGGAGTGAGGAGGAGGGCGAGCACTGACGGAGACGTGGGTGGAGATGCCGTGGAGGGAGTGGGAGGAGAGCAGCACCACGCTCGCTGTCACATGCGGAATGAATATTTCCTGCTTGCGCGTCGTGTTGTGGAAGCTGGGCCAGGGGCGGGGGGGAAGGCAGGAAGAAACTTTTGAGTCGACTCAAGATTCACCTTATGTGGAACGAAAGCTGGGAGATAGGGGGGAGGGGAAGGGAAGGCGATGAGGCAAGGGGATGGAAAATGGGAGTGGGGGCGCGGAAGTGGGTAGGGAAAAGGGCAGGGGAGAGGAGAGGGAAAAGAAAGAGGCAGGGCAGGGGAGGGTGGGGACACAGCGAGGGGGCTTACTCCTTGCAGGCAGCACTCTGGGTGGGTTCCGCCTCTCGCCATCCTACAGGCTTGTCCCTACCCTGCTGAGGCTTGTCCATTGGTAAGTGTCTCTGCTCTGCTCTCATTCAATGGAAGCATGATCATCACTCAATGGTGATGGCAGGGCAGGGTCTCTTACTCAACCATGCCCTACCCTCACCACCATTGCCCTGCCCTCCCCTCACCTCATGACCCCCATCGCCCTCCCCTCACCTCATGACCCCCATCGCCCTCCCCTCACCTCATGACCCCCATCGCCCTCCCCTCACCTCATCTGCACACACTGCTCTCCCCCCCTCTCACCTCATTCGCCCCACGAGGCGGTAGAGCGACGGGCCTCTCTCCTCCCATTGCCAGCTGCCACGTGTCAACAGCAGCCCCCCTGGCACATTGCCGCCCTGCACACGCCGGTGCAGAGAACGTAAGTGCAGGGACCAGCACCCCCAGACCTCCCACGCCCAGCGTACCACTCACGAAGCTGCTGGGGCGACAGGGTCTCACGGGAACGCGGCTGCTGCTGGCGCTGGCTACCGCCAAAGCCTCCACACTGCGCGGCTCCACCCCGATCAGCACCACCGCCGCCGCCACCTCCACTGCCGCTGCCGCCGCCTCCACCGCCGCTGCCGCTGCCTCCACCGCCTCCACTGCCGCTACCGACGCCCCCACTCCCGCCACCACCCCCACTTCCACCGCCACCCCCTCCGCCTCCTCCACCGCCTCCACCGCCGCCCCCGCCGTCCCCTCCACCACCCTTGCCCCCCTTTCTCTTGCCGCTGCGGCGCCTCCCACTAGGAGCAGACGCAGCCCCGACCTCCTCGGTGCCAACGAGGTCGAGAGCAGCAGCAGAAGCAACAGAGGGCAGAAGGGGAACGGGGGAACACCCCTCAAAGAAAGGGGCTCAAGGGTCGCCACGAGAAGCACCTACAGCAACTGTGCTCTTCTCAGTTGCAGTGAGGCGCTCCTCTAGCAGGTCGACGGTGAGCTCGGTGGGGCAAAGGGAGAGAAAGTGGTCCCTGACTGAGCAAAGAGAGTCAGGGAGACGGGTGACTAGGTAGAAGAGGGTGATGTATATGGGGGGGGGGGGGTTCTTGGCGCAGAAGCACATGCTTACAAGACGAGGGCGTCAGTCATGTAAGACGAGGACGAGGGGAGTGGAAGGGATCGCAATCATGCCATCTCATCATGCCTATATTGTGTTACTTTTGAGAATTCTCAAAGGTAATCATGCCACCTCCGCCTGTACGCCTTCCACTCCCCTCCCCCTCGTCATCTCGCCCTCCCTTTCTCACTTCATCCCTCTCTCGCTCCCATTCCCATCCCACTCCTCCCATCAACTCCTTCCTCTCCCCCTCCCCTTCCCACCTGCACTGTCAGCAGCCGAGCTTTCTCCTGAGAAAGCCACCTCTCATTGCTTGCCACGTCATACGTCCCCGCATCCTCCAATGCGCCGCCCCCCAATGCCGTCCGCTCCCCCGTCCCCTCCGCCGTCCCCGCCTCCGCATTCCGCCACTCCGCGGGATCGCTCGCCCACGCCGCGCCCGCCGCAGACGCCGCCGCGAATCCCGGACGGTGCAATTTATTTCGTTCTAATGTGACTGTGACTGTGTGCGACGGGATTCCCCCAAGGTTCCGCCGGGATGGGCGGAGCGGAAGCGCTGTGAGTCCGCCATGGCGGAGCGGCGGCGGAACTCGGGCGCGCGGAGAAGCGAGGGGCAGCGGTAGCGCACGGGAGAGCGGAAGGGCGAGAGCGCGGTGAGCGAGGGGAGGTTGGGATGAATGAATTGGGGTCATCTCGAGTCGCCTGCTCGCAACCCGCCGCGAATCGCGGAGTGGGCCGTTGCGACTTTTGAGACGGCTCGAATGCGAAGCGCGGAGTGGGCCGTTGCGACTTCTGCGACGGCTCGGATGCGAAGCGCGGAGTGGGTCGTTGCGGAGTTGTTTTCGAAAATACTAGACGGAACAGATGCGTAGTTTTTTGGGGCTATGAAATGTTGTTCTAGAATGTATAACAGCAGAAGTTACGCGTAGTAGTCGATCATACTACATGGCCCAATGTATAAGGAGGATACTGGGTCCAATCCTCAATGGAGTCGCTAACCTGTCCACCTGCATGATTTCCACCCTTAAAGCCAGGATCTCAAGTACCAAAAGTGTTTTGCCATTGACATATGTAGGTGTTTTGTTATTGGATGGCGAGTTGCGAAAGTTGACGAGCACGCAGCCACATCTGCGAACTGTCCAAAATTCGTGAACCAAACTAGCCCAGCCTGGTCGGACCTGAGAGGTGGTTGGGGTGCGACGCCCAGACCTCAAACTGCTCGCACAAAAAACTGCACTCCTAAACCGCGCAACACACCTCCAAACACATCATGGTTTAGGTCGAGAAGCCATACCACTCACATCACCTCTATCCCCCACGAAATGCACGTGAGTAGAATACCAACAGATGCGTGTCTCTGTTTAGAGAGTCCTACTACCAACAAGCAAGGAAGGAGAATCTGCAGTGCCACGACTGACGCTCCGCGATTGCGCGTCGCATGGATCGCCTCGTAATACTACAAGTAGGCAGCCGCGTTTCCAAAATAGCACGGAATCATCAATGGCGCGCCAGCAAGCGATAACGAGGTGATTCGAGGGCAAGTGGCAGGCAACCAGGCGGTCCGTCGCTCGCCGTGCGGTCCCCCGCGCGCTCGCCCAAGACCCGCCGAGCCGAGCAGGCCCAGCAGGTGGCGGGGCAGCAGGTTCATGACGATGAGGGCGCTGTCGCCGCGACAGCGCGCGCGGACATCGACGCGGCGGGTAGCGCGTAGCCCATTGGCAGCAGGGGTGACCGTAGTGGCGACTCGGAGTCCGCGCGGTAGGCGGACGGGCAGGCGACGCACCCTGATGCGGCACGTCGCGTCGCGTGCGCGTGTCGCATCTGCAGAACATCCCAACGACTCAGACGACGAGTCGTACTGCACGGACCCCTGCTCCGCGCAGGACTCGCCGCGCTGCCGCCCGCAACTCGTTGGCGGGGAGCGGCGCTAGGGGGAACGGCGTTGGGGGGAAGAACGGTGGGAAAGGGAGGGCGTAGAGCGAAGGGGCAGGTGGGGACGACGAGGGGCTATGGATGTGCGGACGGGGAATTAACCCCGCGGGACGATTCGTGGGGAGCGATGGGGAGTGTGTGGTGCAGGCAGGTTGGGATGGATGCTGCGTTCTCTGCGTTACGCCCTTCCTCCCCCTTTCCCCTCTCTGTCTTACACCCTTCTTCCACTATCCCCCACTCTGCCTCACCCCCTTCTTCCACCTTTCCACCCTCTCTGCCTTAGGCCCTTCTTCTCCCTTTTCCCCTCTTCCTTCCACCCTTCTTCCCCCTCTCTTCCCTACACCATTCTTCCTCCTCTCCCCTCTCTGCCTTGCTCCCTTCTTACCCCTTTCCCCTCTCTACCCCACACCCTTCTTCCCCCACCATGCGTGGTCTCCCTTACGTCCTGCTAAACCCCTTTCCCCTCTCTTCCCTTCGACCTGCTTAGGGCCTCTCTCTTCTATGCCTTACGCCCTGCTTCCCCCTTTCCCCTATCTTCATTACACCCTTCTTCCCCATTTATACCCGCTCTGCCTTACATTTTTATCTCCCTTTCCTTCTCTGGTATTCACCCTGCTTCTCCCTTTCCCCGCTCTTCCCTACACCATTCCTCCCCCACCATGCGTTCACTGCCTTACACTCCTCTTACTCCTTTCCCCTCTCTTCCGTACACCCTTCTTCCCCCACCTTGCATGCTCTGCCTTACGCCCTGCTTCCCCCTTTCCCCTCTCTGCCTTACGCCCATTTTCCCCCTTTCCCTAGTCTCCCTTACCCCCTTCTTCCACGTTTCCACCCTCGGTGCCTTACGTCCTGCTTCCCCTTTTCCCCTCACTGCCTTACACCCTTCTACCCCTTTTCCCCAGTCTCCCTCACCCCCTTCTTCCGCCTTTCCACCCTCTCTGCCTTACACCCTTCTTCCTCCCTTTCTCCTCTTCCTTCCACCCTTCTTCCCCCTTTCCGCCCTCTGCGGCACGCCCTGCTCCCGCCTTTCCCCTTACTGCCCCTCTGCGCCTTCATCCCAGGTGCGTCCTCCCCTCTGCGCCTTCATAGTGGGTGTGCGGCACTCCTCACCGCCTTCATCCCAGGTGCGTCCTCCCCTCTGCGCCTTCATACCAGGTGTGCGGCACTCCTCACCGCCTTCATCCCAGGTGCGCCCTTCCCTCTGCTCCCATAGCCTCACTTCTCCCTCCCTTCACTGCTCCCATAGCCTCACTTCTCCCTCCCTTCACTGCTCCCATAGCCTCACTTCTCCCTCCCTTCACTGCTCCCATAGCCTCACTTCTCCCTCCCTTCACTGCTCCCATAGCCTCACTTCTCCCTCCCTTCACTGCTCCCATAGCCTCACTTCTCCCTCACTTCACTGCTCCCATAGCCTCACTTCTCCCTCCCTTCACTGCTCCCGTAGCCTCACTTCTCCCTCCCTTCACTGCTCCCATAGCCTCACTTCTCCCGCCCTTCACTGCTCCCATAGCCTCACTTCTCCCTCCCTTCACTGCTCCCATAGCCTCACTTCTCCCCCCCTTCACTGCTCCCATAGCCTCACTTCTCCCTCCCTTCACTGCTCCCATAGCCTCACTTCTCCCCCCCTTCACTGCTCCCATAGCCTCACTTCTCCCTCCCTTCACTGCTCCCATAGCCTCGCTTCCCCCTCTCTTCTACCTCCCTTCTCACCTTTTCTCCTATGCACCTTTGTTCCTATGCACCTTTGCTCCTATGCACCTTCACTCCTATGCACCACTGCTCCCATGCTTCACCGCTCCAGAGCTTCTAATCCGCTTCTATGTTCATCTTCTTCTCTCTACCTCTTTTCTGACATCATGAAGTTTCAGCTGGCGTGCGAACGTGACGACCACCTCTATATTGCCGTGGAGTTAGATGTCGTTGGTGACAGACAGTAATGGTGCGAAGTGCACGGAGGGAAGAGGTGTAAGGGGAGGTCAGAGCATGGGGGTTGTGTTCCTAGCCGATGAAATCAGCGTGGCATTGTGAAATCAGGCAGCTTACTCAATGCATGTAGCTTACTCAACATCGAGAA